CAGTTTCTAAATCATCCAATTCCTCTCCCAAACCTCCTCCTTCCCCATGTAAACAGACTTCTTGCACTGCTTACCATGCCTATCTCCTCCTATCTTCCTGAAAAAACTTTCCTGTCATGGAGTTAAGCAAGCCACTCCTTGCCAACTCTGGCCTTAAGGTGATTCCAGCTCTGGCAGAGCTTATGCTCCCTTCCTGTGGGCTGAGACCAAGCCCTGGATTTATTCAGCGACTAGAGAGTGGAGGTTTTGTTTTGCTGAAAGCATGCCAGTACCAATCAATGGGAGCAACCTAGAGACACAGGTGATGGCTAATCCCTTAAGCATGTGTCATGCCTCCAGGCTCTGCCTTCCCCTCCCTTACCTAAGATGTCAGCGCACCTTTCTGCCTTCTCCATGGTCCCACCACATGTCCTCTGTCTCTGTCTGCCTTCCCCTCCCTGGGCTTACTGGGACCCTGCCTCCCATGAAAACATTGTAGCATGGTACCTTATGACTTAAGTTATTCCAACTAGTTTGCCAGGCCTCTTGGTCTAAAGTAACTTTGAATCAGCTGCTTTACCAAAGCACTTACAAAAACCTGCAGCTGCCACGCTCACGCTGCAACTCTGCCTCCACAAGGGGAGGAGGGGAAGCAAACAGGTGCATCTGTGCACAGGATGCTGGCTCCTGGACACAGCAAAAATGCCTGCCATAGCTAAGAAAATTCATAGAGAGGACCCAGCAAATCCTGGGCCGCCAGCCACACGTGGTGATGGCTGCAGCCCACCGCCACTTCCCCTAGAATAAACGTGTGCAGAGTACACAGGAAGGGGGGAGGGGCGACAGGCCACAGGACCAGGCCTAGGCAGTCAGGGTCATTTGTCCCAGGTGTGTGTGGAGGGAGTGGCACCTTGCACAAGTCCTGCTCCTAGCCCCACCTCACACCTCAGGGCATCAGACCCAGCCCTTGTAAGCCAACTGTTAGCTCAAGGTTATAGTTCCAGAAATAACTAAATAGACATTACTGTGGTCTCTAAACTTCTCATTTAGAATTTTCTATATCTTTGGCCTCAGCATAAATTTTTCCCTCCAAATATTAACACTAGTTGCCCCATATGGTACTGTTATTGGCCTGAAATGCCCTCTGAATGCCCTTCTCTAACTTTACAAATGATTTCTTTGTTAAAAAGGTAGCCTTTATTAAAGAGGCTGCCTGCTGTTAGCTAAAAGACTGGATCCTAACTTTTTGTTCTTTCTAGATGGGATCTGCACCTTCCAGTCTTTGGCTGGTAGATGTTGGAAGCTTTGTACTGAGGTTGGCCTCAGTATGCCTTGGGTGACCAAGAGAAGTGGCCTTCACAGGGTTCCTTAAATTACAATACCATACTCCAATTAGACCTTTTCTATAAAAGTAAAAAAAAGCAAACTGAGGTCCCCTATACAAATTTCTACCTTCTAAGACACTCCAATACTCAGAACCTCTTAATGAGTGCTTCCCTTCCAACAGGCAATGGTAGGAAGAGGGCAAGTCGTATGTCCCCTTCCAGTTATCAGATCTAAGGGAATTTTAAAAACATCTAAACAGCTGTACTGATGCCCAAATACATTCAAGCCTTTATCTCTGTGACTAGACCAGACTCTTATCTCATTAGAAAAGCAATGAGTTTGGGCCCAGTCCACTCAGGTTGGAAATGATTATATGGCTCAAGCAGTAGAGTGCCGCTTTACAAGCATAAAGTCCTGAGTTCAAGCCCAGTACAGCCAAAGTAAATAATAATAATAATAATAATAATAATGATAATTGGGGCTGAGGAAGTAGCTCAATGGGAGAATGTCTGCCTAGCATGTGCAAAGCCCTGGGTTCAATTCCCCAGCATTACCAAAAAAAAAATAAAAAATGGTAAAGAAGATAAGTGGCATTAATGTCACTTCAGCCATCTCATAGTAGAAAAACGTAGTTTAACCTAGACCAGATCCCTCATTCTTCAAGTGAGGAAACTGAGGCCCAGAACAGTTCAGAGATTTGCTCTCCAGAATGTCAGGTGTCAATGTAAAATAACAACTTTACTTTACAGCAACAACTTAAAAAAAAATCCTCTTACCTTTCTATAGCATCTTAGGACACTATCAGAAAGCATACCACGGTGGATTCAGAGTCACAGGTGAGAGAGGTTCTCCTCAAAGATAAATTTCTAACAGTCAGCCCCAGATATTTGTAAAAAACTCAGACTGGGCTGAAGGGAGAAGTCATTGAACCAAGTAATACAGTTAGCCATGTCTGTATTTACAGCTATGTCTGTATGTCCGGGACCTTACTAACAGGAGAGAAAAACATAAGAGACACCATGGCCTCATTGCTGGTCTCAGAGAGGGCCCCACCCGACTGGGGGCCTGTATCCTGAACTTGCTATCAGGGTGGACAGGAGGGGCACTTCTGCAGAGAATGCTTAAGGGGGGACAGCCCAGGAGACAGCCCCATCCCCAGCCGGGACCCTGCCCTCTGCAAGGGTAACCACTGGAGGTCTAAGTGCCCCTATCTCCAGATGGAAGATGAGGTGCCACCTCCTATAGATTGATGGGTCTCAGCCTCCTGGCCACACTCCACTTCTTGGCATCAATGTTGAGGAGCCATAATGGCAGAAGAACAAAAGGCCATTTTCCTCCTAGACAGTGGAGCCTGTTTCTCTGTTTTACCTTTTTCTCCTGGTCCCTGGTCCAATGACAAAAGTTATCATTTGGGGCAAATCTGGCCAGCCCCTAGAGTGCTAGTTTACCTGGCCTCTGGCCTGCTCTTGAGGAGATCTCCTCTTCTGTCACTCTTTCCTCATAGTACCTAAAACTCCAGTGTCCCTGATGGGACAGGATTTACTATCTCAATTAAAAGCTCAAATTCTCCTCCCCCCAGGCAACTATCTCTGCTGCCCCCTCCTTCAGGAACAAAGAGATTCCACAGTGTGGATGATGAGATGAGTGTAGGGTGAGCCAGGATGGCCCTCCCTATTCAAATAAAACTCAAAAATCCCTCACAGCTTCCACACCTAAAACAATACCTCTCAAGCCTGAGGGACGATAAGGCCTTATGCCTACCATAAATTCCTTAAAACAGCAAGGGCTACTAATTAGTTGCTCCAGTCCCTACAATAAATTTAAAATTCTTATAAAAGTTAATTTTAAAATACAAGTTACAAAGTAAACAACTGGAAAAACTTCAGTGTGTGATAAAGTTAAAGTTGAATATAATCTAGGAGTTGCCTAAAAGATTTTTAGGGTCATGTCAAACTAAAATCAAATCCTCTGTCTATGAAATAACAAGGTTATCTTAATATTGTTCTGCTCTGAGTAACATCTACAAAAAATCATTACAGAGAAAGATTTTATCAAAGAAATTATTCGTGTTTTTGGCTGATCTTGTCAAGCTTTAAATACTACTAAATCAGAGCTCATTTACATATTTGATTATGTGTCTTAAATGACCACCTTGTAACAGTGTTATGTTATACTTTATCTAAATATGGTACAAACATTTAAAAGGTTAAAAGTGTCAATTTATATAAAATAATGAGCTAAATCTCTCTTTTATCCAAGAGTGTTACATTTAAATCCTGACAGCCCCTGCCTCCCACAGGTCACCTACCTAGGTGTGGCCTTAAAGGGACAGACTCACTCCCTGAGTCTTAAATGCATCAACCCAATCTTCCATTTCCCAACCCCCATACCATAAGACAGCTTACAGCTTTCCTGGCAGTTAAAGGATTTTGCAGAATTTAGATCCCTAGGTAGGTAGTCCCTGAACAGACACATTTTTATGCTCCTCTTAATAGTCCTATTTGGGTCTTAGATAATGTATGGCCACCCATTTCTCTCTCTGTAGTTGGAGGACTCTTGAAATTGTCTAGGGAACATTTCACAGTGGTTCTCCTGGCTAATGCCCGTCCTGATGCCTGTGTTCTTGCTCTCCTATTCTTAAACTTCCTCCCTTGTATCACACTACATGTCTGCTCTTGCTAATCAAAAATGTAACCAGTTGCACCTCCAGGGATACCAACCTCTCCAAAACGCCAGGATAGTTGGCTGATACCCACCATGCGGAGGTCTGAGGATTGGCTTGAGACTCTTTACAACCTATGGCTACAAGGGACCTTCATCAACTTCAGGGAAGAGGAAATCTTCATTTTTGGAGCCTGGGTGTACGCCATCATAAGGCTCAGCACCCCAACATTGTTTGCCAACTAACCCTCCCTTCCCCTATGCCGCCCCTTGCCAGCTCGGAGAAGCCAGAGCGAACACAACGCCCCCCTTCCTTAACAAACAAAAACGGGAGGAATGTTGGCAATAATGGCGCTGATAGGTTTCAGTTCTTACTGCACCCTTAAGCTTCTGTTTTCCTGGGTCACAGTCCTGCCTCCCAGCGTCACAGTCCTGCCTCAAGTCTAGCTTGAACCCTCCTTCTGCCCCAACCTCCAATCACACAGCAATTTAGACACAACTGATGTGTCTTGTTTTTTTTTTTTATAATTGTTTTTTTTTCTATTATTATTCATATGTGCATACAAGGCTTGGTTCATTTCTCCCCCCTGCTCCCACCCCTCCCTTACCACCCACTCCGCCCCCTCCCTCTCCCCCCCCTCAATACCCAGCAGAAACTATTTTGCCCTTATTTCTTAGAAGAGATCTTAAAGGAATAACTTGTAAATCAAAATTATTTTAAAACATTCGATAATCTTGGGGAACCAGTTGATATTCAACAGCACTGTATATTGAGGCCTTTTAATACAAAATTGACAAAAAGTTAAAGTTGCTCTATAGGAAAGGTCAGAATGAGTGTATCAAATCAGATGAGGTATAAAAAAGGGAATGACAAAATTAATACTCACATATCTTCTCTTTTCTCCACATTGGTTTGCTACTTTATTTCTTGGCTAGGTTCAAATTCCTGGGATAGGTTTTTGTTTAATGACAAATGGTCTCACTATGCAAAACTCTTTGGAATGCATTTAACAGGATTAAACATCTTCCATCACTTACTTGAATTCCAAAAGGTTCATTTCATGATGATAATCTCCCTGGACCACCTTTAAATTTGAGGTTTGCTCAGAAGAGGAAGTCTCTATCTTTCCTAAGAGCTGCATTACCTAGTGAAAGTACAAGAAGGAGCTTTTTTGTGTGTGTAAGCAAAACCACCAGCACTTACATGAATTATACTGTATTCTTAAAGGAGTCAGGAAACAGATTTGAACCTGGAGCATGTTTGCATTTGAAAATGATTTTCTTCAAATTAAGTATGATTCAGAGTAATAGCTGCAGTGTTTTCAGGGAAGGAATACTAGAGAGTGTTCCATCCTGCTGTCCGTAATGTTCTTTTAGATAATAAGTTACCTAATGATTTAACAAAAACATGCTATTACCATCAGTATATTAATTCAACTCAATATACTTCACTCTTTTTTTCTTTACTTTTTGTCACCTCAGTTACAATGTAAGCCATTATATCCTTTTACCACTATATCCTCAGTGACATCAGGTGACTAATGGGAAAAGCTCAACAAATACTTAATGAATAAATATTTGCATGCACAATTAGACTCTGAGGGAAACACACATGACTAGCATAAGCTTCAGACTCAGGGATTTTAAGCTAGTACTCTGACATGACCACAAGTACATCATACATAAAGTGACTCAGGGGATACAAGATGGAGAAAACAAGTCCTAGTTCTGGAATTGGCGAGTATTGCGCTATTTGCATTGCTAGACACAATGAGGAAATTCCTTTAGGTACAAGAGCTAGATTAAAAAATAAATGCAAAATTGCAGCACATATTTGTGTTTAATCACTGACAAGAAGCATGAAGCATGACTGCTTTGGCCAAACAGAACTCAACTCCTGACACAGATGATCTTATGGAAGAAAGTGGCCATTTAAAATAATCAGAGTTCTCTTAGCAAGGAGCGAGATGAATAATGGAAGGGTTTGAATGCATATTGCATGTGCAATCAATTGCACCTAGATGGTTATTTACAGAAGATGCACTTAAAACAGGGTAAAGTGAGGAATGATGAAAATCAAATCATAGGCTAATGTATGCTTGGCAAAGGTAAAGGAAATCAGGCTGACCCCTATTAATGTCAATTAAATTGTCATTCAAGCCAAAACATGTTACAAAATCAAACAAAGATGATAATTTTTATAGATGAGAGGTAAAATCCACAGTGAAAATAAAGAACTTTAAACCTTATTTTCTTTATATACGTAATTAAAAAGCAACAACTTTCTAGGATAAACTAACACTGATGATAGATTAGTGATTTTTAAGTGACTTTTCTTGGTTCTCTACTTTTGTCAAGTAAAATATGTATAAGGATGTAGGAAGGTGTGAAAATACAAACTATATTTAATAGATTTAACTGCAACCTGCAGAGCCAACACTCATTCTTTTCCAGTGTCCACAAACATTGGCAACAACTCATCCCACATGTAACAAGAGACAAAATCTCCATGCCTCTAATTCCAGCAACTCTGGAGTGGAGAATAGGAGGATCACAGTTCCAGGCTACACCAAGGCAAAAAACCCATTAGTGTAACTTCATCTCAACCAACAAGCCGGGTGTCGTGGCTCACGCCTGTGATCCCAGATGTACAGGATCACAGTCTAAGGCTGGCCCAGGCAAAAAAGCATGAGAATCTATCTGAAAAGTACCTAAAGCAAAAAAGGGCTGGATACGTGACTCAAGTGCTAGAGCACTTGTCTAACACGTGTGAGGATCCAAGTTTCTTGAGTTTAGTCCCCAGGATTGCTTTCTTACTCAAGAGAGACAGAGAAAAGAGATAGAGACAGAGACAGGAGGGAGAGAGACAGGAGGGAGAGAGACAGAGACAGGAGAGAGAGAGAGACAGAGACAGGAGGGAGAGAGACAAGAGACAGGAGGGAGAGAGACAGAGACAGGAGAGAGAATCTCAAAAATATTTCAAAAAGCGGGGAAAGCATAGGTCATAACTGCACTGCAGTAAAATTAGAAATTAATAAGAGAAGAATATAAAGAAGCAAAAGGCCAGCCACTTGACTGAGAAAACAGTTTTCATTCTAGTGTTTCCCATGAAAACGAGTCTCTGATGTCCACTGCAAGGAGGCTAGCCGGTCATGGGCCTTGATTGCTAGGCTCCAAATCCACTCCCCTGTGTTCAGACCAGGCGTTCCACGGGCTGCTCCCAGCCAGGGTCTGAGTGCTGCTCCTTCCACGGGTGGCTTTCATTCAAGGAATTTGATGAGGCTCTTCATGACATTGCAGCGAAAGCCTTCTTCCCTGTCTATTTCACTGTATTATAGTCTGAAGTTGTCCCTGTCTTATCTAACTCTTCCCACATTTTTCCTCATAGATTTTCCCTCAGTAAATCTCTGGGGTTCGTTGTTGTTTTGCTGGGGTACATTGTGACATTTACAGACGTTCTTACAATATGTCATAGTTGAATTCACCCCTCCATCACTCTCCTTCACCAAATCTCTTGATTATCTAATTCCTTTGTGGCATTTGCTTCTCAAAGAATCTGGACTAACATAGTGTCAAAGAATAAATCAACAATGCAATTACAATACTTAGGAAATGATGATAATATTACACATCTAAAAGACTCAAATCTATGATCAGGGAACCCTTTACCGGTAGAGAAATATCACTCAGTATAAAGGGTGAATCAGAAAGCACAGGCAGTTAGCAGGGTCCAGTAAAGAGGGTTTTTGTTGGGTGCTGGTGGCTCACGCCTGTAATCCTAGCTCCTTGGAAGCTAAGATCAGGAGGATTACAGTTGTGAGACCCCCATCTCAGTGGAAAAAAGCTGGGCCTGCTAGCTTGTGCCTGTCATTCAGAGACAATGGAAAGTATAAAATAGGAGAATTGTGGTCCAGGCCAGCCTGGGGGAAAAGCCAGGCTCTCCAAAATAACCAGAGAAAAGAGGGTTAGAAGCATGGTTCAAGCAGTAGAGTTCTTGCCTAGAAGCATGAAGCCCTGAGTTCTAATCCTAGTACCACCAAAAGCAGACAAACAAAAGATGATTGTAAAAAATCCAGGCCAGAGGACTTCTATGTTTTTTGTATGAGCTCTAATCCATTAAAAGATTTTAAACAGGTATGTAAATGATCAATGTAAATGATCAACTCATATTAATGTGGAACCAATAATAATCCTAGCTTCCATGAGAAATTCCTCTGCTTGTCCCTGGCCCTCCGGAGTTTGAAAGGAAGCCACAGAATAAGGATGAAGGCGATGGTCTGTGCGTACAGTGGGCAGCGGTGCTGGGGTGTGGGAAGCCTCGTTAAGCTCTTGTTGACTGACCTGACTGTACTCGTGGTGTATATGATTGAGGGGTCGTACTATAGTTTGGAAGAAAAGAGTTCTTTTAAAAACTTACCACCTGACTGGGACTTTTGATAAGCTATAATGGTCTTACTTCTGGCAGTAACTCACAAGGTGAGAGGCCCATCTACTTTCAGTTACCTTCATGTCCAAGTTCTTGGAAACAGTTTCTAGGGAAGACATGAGCTCTTGCATGGCTCTTTCAATTTGCCGGTACTCATGCCTGATGAACTGAATGTCCCCAGACAGCTTCACAATGCTCGAATCACATCTAGGGACAAGATGGAAATTTGTGTGAGATCAATAAATAAATTCGTAATGCTTTAATACTATAGTAGGAGTTGTGCTTTCATTTGGTGGCAAAAATTCTAAAGTTCGATATAGGGGCGTATACCATAACTTCCTTCTTCATTTTTCTCTTCTCTTCATAAGGGAAGAGAAGCCAAGTTGGGTATATTGACCCAAACCAAGTTGGTGCACATATGGTAAGTTGGGGGAAATTTCATATTTTCAGCATATTAACTAAGTCATAGAAATTTTTAACAGATTTTGATGTGCTACCTAGTATTAGACAAAATAGATACATCTTCCTCTTCTATGTTATGTCCTGAACCTATTTTTCTCCCTTTTGCCTTTTCTTGGCTCCCAGACTGCCAATTCTCCTTTGACTATGAAAGGTGCCCCAGACAAACAAAAGCTTCCAATTCATCTTAAAAACTTGCCATCTTAGCCCCAATCAAAACTTCTGAGACCACTGTGACCTCAGTTGGGCACTGTCTTATATTAGAACAAAACTAATTCACATGAACACATGAATGAAGTTTGGTTTATAAGGTAGAATTTGGCTTTGTAGGGAAGGAACTCTGGTGAGATGGAGCTGAGATGAATATTAACTATCTCTTCAACATGTCAGAGAAACAAACACAGAGAACCTGACTTCCTTACCATTGCTAAGACCTCTCTTGGGAGGTTGCACACTGCATGAGTGATGGGTTTCAACAAATGCTCGTGTACGCATAAATGACAGGATGGAGAGCACTGAGAGACTGTGTCTTTTGTATATCAGGTCTATCAGAGATCATTTTGACAACTCCCATTTTATGAAATAACCATTTTGACTGTCATCAAATAATAGCAGGAACCACAGTTTCATGTTGTCATGCTAACATGTCATTTTTTATGCCTATTAATGCTTTTTAGGATCCAGAAATGAATTTTTCCTTAATATTTTAGAACGAAAGGTGAATTAAGATGGTAATTTTGCCTAAGCATTTAAGAAATACCAGTGACTGTGGTGAGAGGAGGGGACACCGTGTGGAGAAAAATATAGTAGTCAACGTGATCAAGAACGAGGACATGATGCCATGCATCTAAGTCAGGTCAAAAGCCACTGTGCACATTATGTGCAGAAACTGCCATTGCCAAAACAACACTTTTATTGTTGATTAACTGCAATGTCCTTATGTGAGTCTATGTTTCTACCCTCCCCGCCACACACACAAAGACTGTGCAAGAGTGACTGCTACTCCCACAACTTCCTGCTGCCTCCTTCCACTCCTCCCTGGTCTGTGCAATGGAGGCTACTGGTTAGGAATTTGGCATCAGATAGATTAGGTATTGAATCCTGGTTCTGCTACTTCTTAGGTTTGTGATCTGGGACAAGTTTCTTAATGCCTATGTGTTTTAGTTTTCCTCATAAGAGAAAGGGAGTGGAGGGAAATGATGCCAAGGTCAATTAATACAGCTGCACAGTTCATCCACCATACAACTCCAGGGGGTGCCAGACACACAGACAACTATGTAGATGTCTCCTGGAGTGCTGCGTGCTCAGCCTTCAAAACTGCAAGTAGCTGTGCTGAATAATATTATTTCAGAAAGTTATTTACGGATGGGAGGAGGTGATTTAAAGCATTTAGTCAGTACATGGCACAGAAGACACAGCTACACAAGGTTAGCACCTATTATTTGTTTACTCATGTTGAGCACTGCCACCTCTTCAATCTCACCTCCCCCACAGCCCCACACAAGCCTAACACAATAAAGTTTAAGGAAGGCTTAGTGGTTTTTCAACGCTGCACATTATATTCCAAAAGGAAGTTCTCTACCTTCTCCTTCTTTTAGGATTTTATTGTTTCTGGTAAAGTAGTACTGTGCCCATTGTAAAAAAAAATTCATATAACACAAAAAAAGATGAAGAGGAGAGTTAACATTCCAAATTCCACCTCTCAGAAATAGCACTTTCAATATTTATGGTTACTTCTGTTCACTATTATATATATCTATGTATGTATACAGGAACATTCTTGGTATCCACGGGGAACTCCCCGTGGATACCAATATCCATAGATGCTCAAGTACTTTGCATAAAATGGCACAGTATTTACATACAACCTGTGTACACCCTCCCATGCACTTTAAATCATCTCTGGGTTACTTACAATACTTACCACAAGGTAAGTGTTATGTAAATAGCTGTCATGCTATATTGTTTAGGGAATGATGACAAACAAGTCTGTACATGTTCAGTACAGATGCAATTTTTTTTCAAATGTTTTCCTCCTGAGATTTGTTGAATTTGTGGACACAGAACCCACAGGGCTGACTATATATATTTCTTTACTACTAAAGATATTTGTTTCCGAGATAAAGAGATTATTTTAAAAGATATCATAGACTGAAAGTGTTATGTTTTTCAACTACCATCTCTACTTTAGACATTATCTGTTGAGTATATGCCAAAAAATGAGGAAATAGACATATATTTGCTCCTTTAACCATTTTTGCTAATATTTTGCTATTTTTAAATGTTAAATTTTATGATACTTGCACTACGTTCAACAACTAGAATTGCTAGGTATTGAATTTTCATTCTGTGTTTAGATTCTATGTTCCTTAACCATGATTTTTTTTTTGAGGTCCTTATTTTGATTTATTCCTTGATTGACCAGTTGTCATCCAGTTTTCAAAAGGAGGGCTCGGGAGTGTTAGAATCTTTAAGTCCTTAAGAGTGCTTGTGTGCTCTTTTATACTTGAAAGGTGACTTGGTAAAGAAAATATTTTTTCTTTCATTCAGTACATGACAGACTTTGTTCCATCCTTTTCTGGCACTGGTTGAGTTAGAGAAGTTTGAGGTGACTACACTTTTTCCTTCTGCTATGTGATTTGCTTTGTCTACCTGAACATCCAGTAATCCTTCACTCTTGGTATTCAGTAACTTCAACTGGAATCTCTTGGTTTAATTGTTCTTATATTAATTTTTCAGGGTCACAGTTTTATCTTTTGATTTACAGGTTCAAATCTCTGTTTCAAAAAATTTCTTCTTATATTTATGAATTTTTTTTCTGAAAAATATTATTGTTTCTCATTTTAGATTTATTACTTGTCTGCCAAGTCAAAATAAAGAACTATTTTTATATTAAGAAGTTATTTTCTTTTCCTCTGGTATGATTTTGCTTATGCTTTTTATTTTTTATGACTCTTTATTTTGAGTTTTATTTATTCTATTTAGGTGCTTCCAAACTCAATAATATTTTAATTTTTTCACCTTATCCCAGAAAAATCCTAATTTGTCTTTTTTTGTAATATGATAACCTCTTTCAAAAAGAAATGCTGTTATATATTATTTTGAAATTAATTTTATCTTATCAAAGTAAAACATGTCTAGTTTGTAAGTCAATAGTAATTCAAAGGCTAATATCAAATGATGCTGGTTCCTCTTATCCACAGTTTCATGACCTGTGATTTCAGTTACCTGTGGCCAAGCGAACATATTAAGTGGAAAAGGGTGAGTACAGCATTTTGAAAGAAGGCTTTATTATGTGTGCTCGCTGTCATCCCTAGATAGATACACAGATCAATCAATTGATGAATCTGGATGGATGATAGTGGAGGACTTTTATGCATGATCAGTTCTATCCCTATGACATCTTTGAATGTCTCTGGCTACCTGCACATCACTGAATGTGTTTGGTGATACCATCTTCTAATGAGTATCAAAGTATCAAATCTGCTATTTCCCTAGGTCTGGGGGTAGGGACACTTCTCCCAATTGTCCCCTCAAAAATCAGATTGGGATATCCTGCAGCAAACATTAAATAATAGCTTCTCTGTTGTGACACTAGGACTTCCTCTCCTACCTCGGTCTGTTGCACTCTAGCCAGCTTCTCTCAGGTATAAACTGGCAAGGAGGGAGGCCCTAGATTAATGAGATGATAGAGAACACAATAGGATCCATAGCCGAACCTCCCCAGCTGTTCTGTGTTAATTACCTGAGTCCTAAGGGAACATTTCCTATCTCTCTAATGGCCCATCCAAGTCCCTATGAATAATGTGCTTCTACCTTTCAGAATTATGACTTGTAGTACTGAGTATTGAACTCAGGGCCTTGTGCTTGCTAGGCAAGCTGTCTGTCACTTGAGCCATGCTACTGGTCCTTTGGCTTTTAGTTTGATTTTCAGATTTGCACTATCATTGCTCTGGGCTCAGACCTTGATCCTCCTATCTCCACCTTCCAAGTAGCTGAGATTTCAGGAGTACATAGATTCTGAATCTTGACTTGGAGGAAATCATTATGCTTAAAGTCTGAGGAGAACTGTGTCAGTTCACACATCACAATATTTGGTAAGTGTGCCCAGTATGTGGTTAGCAGTTGTGGCAAATTCCTTATTATGTTAAAGATAGAGTTTTGTTTTCCTTTTTTAATTTTCTACTGGCATTGAGATGTCTCAAGAGAGACAAGTGGAATAAAATACCTTTATTCTTTAGCCAGAAGTATCCCTCTTAACTTTTCAAAAGTTAAAATATCCATCATTGTTTTTTCTCGAAGGACATGATTTTTGCTTTTAACCACTCACCAACGTGATTTATCAGTTTTTAAAAGGCAGATTTGCCTTGGAGTCGTAAAGAGTCAAATGTGACTAGTAGGTTGGACTCTCCTGGTGGCTGGTACAGATTGTAAGACATAGCCACTCCTCTGCACACTTGCCTTTTTCTTTTTTTGCACCTGGAGACTAATCCATCAAGTTAAAGGCAGGGGGTACAACTTTGAGAACCTCATGTCATTGGAAGTACTTGATTCTAAACTGCCACTATGTTAGGGTGGGAAAATCCAAAGCACATTGTGGTTATTAAATATTGAGGCTGACTTATGAAGCAGTAAGGTGTTTGTTAGGAATTATGTTACAATAATCAACATAATTTCACTTATGCCAAAATGCTAATTGGAATTAAAGTCACTAGATATGGAAAGCCAGTAATCAATATGCCTTAGCTTGTCCATTGTCATTTATCTGGCAAAAATACAGAAAAGAAACATGAGAGGAAGGGTTAATTTTAAATCTGGTGGCTTCTAGCCAGATTGTCCGAGGTTACCAAATAGATTTCAGAAATTTTCCTTAAGAAAGGGACATTTCAAGGAAAAGTAAGATCTTGTCCTGAAGTCACTGCTTAAGATTGAAGATGAAGTGTTGATGGAGTGGCTCAAGTGGGAAGAATGCCTGCCTTGCAAGTGTGAGTCCCTGAATTCAAACCCCATTGTGGCCAAAAAAAAAAAAAAAAAAATTGAAGATGAAGTTAAGTGATAAATTGGAGTCACCTGGGTGTGGTGATGCATGCTTGTAGTCCCAGCTAATCTAAAGGGTGAGGCAGAAGGGTCACCGGAGCCCAGGTTTTTTTTAGCAACCTGGACAATACTCTGTCTCAGTATCAGTAAAAAAGAAATGTATTTCAGTAGTACAGTGCATGCTCCCGTGACTATTTACAACCTTCTACAGAGACTTCAAACTCTTTGCTTTGGTCCACAAGATGCCTCATCTTGCAATTTCAGACCACTTCTCCAGCTTTACCTCCATCTCTCCAAAATATCATAACCAAAGTAATCTCACAGTAGGCGCTTGAACATGCCACAGTAATCCTTCCCTTAGTTCTTTTACACATATTATTCTTCCGACGTGAAGTGTCTTTCCTACCCTTCTTGATCTAGTTACAAGTTCTTTAAAACCCATTTCAGGTGTTGCCTCTTCCAAGAAGCCCCTCCTCTGCCCAATCACTTTGATTATTCGCACAGCACCACAGGTTTTTAGTGTCGTGTTCACCTCACTGCTAACTGAAGGACCTTGTTTTGCCAGGGGGACTGTGAACAGCTACAGAGGAGACTGTTGCTGAATCTTAGTCCATGGCCGTCAATGGCATAGGTTAAGCGCTTAGTATGTTCTTGTTGAGTGAAAAAATATCCTAGGAGAGTACTGTGGTTTGAACATGTCTCAAAATTCAGCTGTTGCCAGTGTGATAGTCTTAAGAGTTGTGGCATTTAAGAGGTGACGAGGCTGTGAGCTTCTCCCAGATGGAGGATTAAGTCCCTTATGAACAAGTCTTCACACTGCATGTGGGTCATTTGCCATTCTGTCTTCTGTTTCTCTGTCATGTGAGGATACAGTATTTCTTTTCTCTGGAAGATGCAACCTTCACCAGATAACCTGTCAGTCCTCCATCTTGGCCATTCCAGCTTCTAAAACTGTGAGAAAGTGAATTTCTGTTCTTGTTAATTACCCAGTCTAAATTATTCTACTATTGCACCATAAACAGACTAAGAGAGAGAGGTTCGACTTAGATGTTCATCATGTAATTCTCACTTGGTCACTTACACTTCAGAGAGAATAAGATGGGAGTGGGAATATCCCAGGAGAGAGGAAAGAGATTCTGGCAGAAGATGTAGATATGGCGGATATCCATGGTAAGCCATTTACAAGTAACTTTTGATTTGCCTGCCAGAGCAACCCTGCATTGTCAATACATACAGAATTTTTTCTGAATTGCATACTATTAACTCTTTTGATTTAAATGTCTCATACAGAAGATGTCATTCAATACAATCTATCTGGCAGCATATCTCTTTTGTTAGACTCATGTCATCCTTGTGTATTTTAAATGATCTTCTCGTTAGAATTTAACACATGGGGATTTTATATCTAGTTTTGAAGGTATGTCTGTGTATGGATGTTGGTATTTGGGTGGTTGAAGGCTATAAAGACAAGACTCTGGTCACAATGGAACCAAACTGGACATACAATGTAAAGGGGTTATTTATAGAAACTATGGGTCTCATAGGTAGCATGAGGGTTTCAAAGTTTTATGAGACATTTTCTCTAAATGTCTCTTAAGACATTTAGAATCTAAAGTTATCTTGTTTTCTATAATAGAATTGAATGAAAGTTCAGTGAGCAAGAACTGGTAGCTAAGCATTAGTTAATATGCTTCGTCTCACCTGGCTACTCTTCCTCGAAGGTCTCCAACTCCTTGTAGGTGTTTGATGTTTAGATCCTGCACTGCAAAGTTAGTTCCTGTGGCTGCCTGATCACGAATTTTTATTTGGTCTTCTAAGATCTGTAATTTTGAGTTAAAATACCCATTAATTTCCCACTACACATAAGAAAATATCATTTAGAGTGCCTTTCTTTCTCCCCTTTCCCTCCCAGTCCACTTTTCCTTCCCCTTCTTCTCTAGCACACACATACACACACACACACACACACACACACACACACACAACACACACACACACACACACCTATTTCACAATTAGTGGTAAATTTAGAAAAAAAAAGATTGTTCAATATGGCACCAGGCAGGGTTCTTTATAGATTGAGTAGAACCACAGTGAAGTTAACACAGTTGACACAGCTGATCTGACTCAAACTGCTCCACATATATGGAGTGAAAAATTGTTCTCGATTTCTTAGAGAACATAAGAGATTTATGGCACATGTCAGATTTTTGTCCTTGGGTATTGGTGGTCATGTTTTTGTGATGTTTTGGTGTTTTGGAAATAAAGGTGACTTTCTTATTGTATCAGGTTGCTGGTCCTGAGGATAGTGTTTTTTTTTAAATAAATAATTTTGTACCTATTTATAAGTATTAATTTAAAAATTAAAAATTCTGCCTATCCATAAAAAATCATATTTATGTTGACATTTAAACAAATTCCAATTTGAAGTGTTAACAGACGAAAAGTTTTGTTTATTGAGAAAAAGAGCATAGAACTTTGGAAAACACAAATTCGTGATTTGGGGAAAACATTAAAGTTTATTTATTTGACAAAGGCCTGAACTGTGTTTAAACTTATGTTTATGAGTTTACCAGGCAAAGAAGGATTTTTGTAGCAAACTGTATGAATTTTAAAGACCTTACGTGTACAGATCTTTCACACTTAAAAATTGGTAGATTGAGAGAACTTGAAAGCAAAGAAAGCCTTAATTACAGATATAAAAGTGTCAAAAACACTAGCCAGAGTTTGATTTTGTCTTTTTGTTTTTGTTTTTGGTAGAGGACAGTGATGTAATGTTATAATGTAATGAAGACTTTGGTGAATGCAATAAAGGGATATGTTATACATGAGGCTCATGAATCAGTGGGGGAGAAACTTTGGAAATGGTGTTGCTGTCTTTGGGTACTTACTCAGAAGACATTCAATTTAAATATTTACCATATGGCATATATCAATATAAATTTTAGAAAACAATAGATTAAAAATACATATTAAAATTAAGCCATAGCAAGGACTAGGAGTGTAGTTCAGTGGTAGACCATGTGGTTAACGTGTGCAAAGCTCTGGGTTTAATTCCCCAACACGTCCCCACACACCTATACATGCATGCCCACAAATTAATAAGGATTGCAGATAATGGAGGAGACTATTTCATCTCTGAAGAATTTTCTAAGCTTAAAAGTAATGAGATCAGTTATGAAGAAAAATACTTGAATGTTTGCCTTTACCTAAACTTGTAAAAACAAGGTAGGCACACTACGATATTAAAAAGTACACTGGAAAACATCTCTAGCAACGTGATTGCCAGGGCTTCATTGGTGCTGTAACCAGCATGAACCTGTCTGTGAGAGCGAACTCTACAGAACTCTTTCCATCTTTGGGTTCGTCGTGTTGGTTGTATGGTATTATAGTGGGAGTATTTACACTAGGGAAGTAGGCAAACACTAAAAACTAGGGTTTTCCCCCAGAAAATTGTTGATTGTTAAATATGTACCAATGTGCCAATTGTGATTATCTTAATATGTAAAAGAGCTCATTAAATCAATAATAATTAAAAAGCATTAAAACCCTAAAAGATAAATTGGCAAAAGTCATGAACAGATTATTGGCAAAGGAAATACAAATTTTCAAGTCACTTTTAAAAATGGGTTAAACACCTTCAAGAAGGAAAAAGGGAAAGACTTCATTTCTGCCCTATAAAATAGCAAAGGTTAAAACAATAAATCTCAATGGTGGCATAGGCCCCGTGAAAAAGTCACGCTCATATGATGATAATGGAAGTATAATTACTGCAAACTTCTTGAAGCCAATTTTGCAACATGTATCAAGAGCTTTCCTGGTGTTCATACCCTCGTAATTCCACTTCTAAGAATATATATTATGGAAATAGTCCAAATGTGAATTTATATTTATGCCCAAAGATATTTCAACATGAAGAGAATAATTAAGCAAATCATTGTGTATATACCATACAAAGTGCTTTTAATGACAGGAGTTTCTGATATTAAAGATTTTGCTAAAAAATAGTCTCTACCTCCTAAGTGGAATATTTATAGGAACTACAGGAGATTCAGCTGGGTGTTTGTAGAGATTGGCATTTGATGGTTAAATTGTGAGAAATTTTTTAAAATTTCTTTCTGAACTTTCAAAATAATTATAATGAACAAGCATTGCTTTCATAAGTTGAGGAGCTCACAGTAAGGCACTGTTATAAATAAAATTCTCTTTTGAATTAAAAATAAATTAATTTATTGATTTATACACTGATTAATTTATATCACTGAAGAATACCCCTTGTTCTAAGATATTTTTTAGAAGTTACTTTTCCACACAGTCAAGTTAGTCCTCCTCATTTTCCCTTTATATACCAAACACTCAACAGTGTTGTAAAGATTTTCAGGTTTTATAGTTTTGGGAAAATGTTTTTTCTTTGTCTTTTCAGAGATAATCTGAAAATCAATTACTGTAGAAAAAGGAACTCTTAGAAAGATTCTAGGCGTCTGGAAACGATTTGCTTCTTAAGGCTAAGAGTATTTTATTAGGGTATAATTAACATGTATCAAAATGCCCAACGTGTGTGTCTGGATAGATTTGACAAGTGTGATCGACTATGTAAGGGCAGCTCAGAGCAAAATACAGAACATTCCTGGAAACATTTTGCTGAGGATATTGTTCTCTTTTCAATTATCAAGATGTATCAAAGGGTAAATGACAATCTTGTTTTAGAGTTATTGCTCTACATACTGGATTTTGTAGCCATGTCAAAAGACACAGAGCTGTTGCCTCTTCACACCTTTGAGACACGTTGTAATGCTTGGAATACCTAATCACCATGACCTTTTCAGGCATGGGGGTCGATTCAATATCTATCAATTCTAGTACAGCATATTTCAGAAAGGTCTGTAAGAGTTTTAACTTTCTGCACTCTTTCCATCGCATTATGAGGTCTGTTACACCCTACACACAGAAAACACACGCACACATATTCTTGGCCTTAAATACAGATTCATGAGCAAGTCATTGTGGTTAATCCTATGCTGCTGTTTGGTTTTCTGTTTTTGTTTGTTTTTTAAACAACAATACAGTAATCTCTCTGTTAGTAGAAAAGGGTGACTATTGTGGAAGGGCATTGTCATCAATTTTCATAATTCTACAAGTTTTTGGGCAGTTTCCTTCAAGTGTGCTCTCTGGACCCTTGCTCGAAAGTTGTTACCCCAGATTCATTGTGCACGTGCACTTTTAAAACCCTGAAAGACCTGACATGTTTATCTTGATTTAGCTTAAGAATTTTCTTTTTTGATCAGAAACATTATTTTTCCTTTGACATTTTTACTTATTTGCTTGCTCAAGAAATATTTACAGAAGGCTGACTGTATACTAGATACTGTTGTTATCTGGCATGGGATTCAATAGTGAAACAAAGTCCCTGCCCTTACAAAGGTTACATTTTAGAAGGAGAAAATGAACAATAGACAAACATAGATCATAGGAGGTTGTGATAAATGCTATATGGATAAATGTAGAATTTAAGAGAGGTTGAAACTGTTGGGGTGAGGAGGAGTGCTACTTTATAGAGTGCGAAGGAAACCTTCTCATATAAGGTGGTATTTAAGCAAGAATCTGAAGAAAATAAATCACATTTCACAGGAATATCTACAGGAAGATTGTCCAATTTGAGTAAATAATAGGGAATAACTGGGAGGTCAGTGTGGCCAAGAGTGAAGAAGAGAGGGATGGGAGATGGGTCAGGTTGTGTGGGCCAATGAACAAGCATTGTTATGCATTATGAAAATGACTCTTTGAAGTTATTAATAACATCTTGGAGATTTAGACTAAAGTAAGCCCTGTAGCCTAATGTTTGATATAATGTTAAGCAATTGTCTTTCCTGGCACAAAATAGATACATGATATTTTTGAATGGAAATTTCTTTTACATTTTGGCATAAATGAGCAGTCAAATAATTAAACTGTTTCTCCCGTGGAGAACTACATTGTAATCATTTAAACACATTTCTATCTATAGTCGACAAATGACATTGGTGGTTAATACTCTTTATCAAGCAATGCGGTCAACATATGGAAATAGTGAGCTACCTCAATATTCTGGCTGAGTTTTTTGACGATGCTGGTGATGGTCTGGATGTGGCTTTCTAGTAGCTTCCTGGCAAGTGATTCTTCTTTATGAAAGCCATGGGTCCCCTGGAGACAAGCAGAGATGTCCTCCTTGATGCGGAAGGCTTGTTCAAGGAGAAAGGCTATAGTGCGTTCCTGATTGTTCAGTCTGTCTTCCAGCTGACTTGACTGGATGTTTGGAATGACAGGTAGAGAAGGATGACCCCTGGTCAGGAGAAGGAAATACCATGGCATTACAAGAATGAGCTTCAGGAGCTAGGAGCCAGACTTGCCTCCTCACTGCTACTCCATTTTTCCCCTTGTGAGAAGTTTGGTAGGGCTTTAACAGCATTCATGTTGGAAGCTTGTTTTATGGATTATCTAAGAAACAGATCTGCATCAAGACCTGATACAAGATCTTGCTCTTGTATCATTCATTTTTTCCTGTTTCCCAAGCAGAAATTTTTGAATATATAATGATGGCAAAATTTAAAGCCAAATTGATAGTGGTTGGGGAATCTATAAAGGGAGATATTAGAAGATATTCTTCCAGGGCTGGTGGACTGGTTTAAGCAGTAGAGCACCTACCTAGCAAGTGTGAGACCCTGAGTTCAAACTCCAGTACTGCAAACAAAACAAAAAAAGAAAAAAAAACCCCAAAAAACTCTAGAAGCCTTCTTCTATGACTTATGCCTTTATATACCCTTATATTAAAAGCCTACTTTAATCTAGAAAAAATCCAAATTCTTATATCTTTAAAAATGCAAAGGTGACTGTGTTAGAGAGTTTCCCAAAGGGTATGTCTTAAAATAGTAGTCAGCAAAAAAGAATTTTATGGTCAAATAAATTTGGAAAACATTGCATGCAATATCCTTCTCTTGGCAACTTACATTGTATATTAACATATTAATGTCTAGTAGTACTATACTAATTTTACAGGTAAGGAAAATAGCTAAATGCTGGTCCAAGGTCGTCCAAGGCCCATAGCTGAAGCATTTGGTTGTATGGTCCCTGAATATAGTTCACTTCCAAAGTTCTGTGTGCACTGATTTCTGACCTCTTTCCAGGCTAATATTCCATTATATCTACATAACAGAGTTAAAAGTAGACTTTAAACTTTTTTGTAGTGCTATTGAATTTCTTGGGCACTTTTTATTATCTTATGGCCAAATGGAGGAACTTTGGGTTTTCTCTCTTCAGTCTTACCTGTTTAACACACTGAGCTTTTGCATGAACTTTTGTTTTTAGAGATGTTTCAGAGCCACAGATTCAGTTATCCTAAAACCTGGCCTAAGATGGTTTTCATGATGCTACCTCTGAATGGTAACATGCTATTTTATGAATGTCACTAGAAGGAGATGGCACCTTAGAAGAAGGTGATTTAACCTTTGTTAGGACCTGAGAACAAAATGATGAATAAGACAGACAAAGTCCTGTGCTCTAGGAAATATCAATTTATATCTATGTACTTATATAGATTATAGATACATAGCACTTATCTTTTTTTGAGTTGCTATAGGTGCTAGATTCTAAAAAGTTGTGACCAAATAGTGCACACTTATTCCCAATACATGAGCCAGAATAACTATTTGTCATGGGCTGTTTTCTTTGGAAGTGAGAACATCCTAAGGACAGAAGAATTTAGGGCTAGATTGTGAACATTATAATTTTCTGAAGACTGACATTATCAGCTAGCATTGTATTTGGCTGTGCATAATGAATAGTCACTTAAACAAAAGGGTTTATTTGACTTATATAACAAGAAATCTAGAGATAGAGGGCCTAGGGCTAGTGCAGCTGACCAAGGAGGTCATCAAGCACCCAGGCTCCTTCTGGCTTCCTGGTATACCTCAGTGCCTTGACTCTTAGAGTCTTGAGGTTGTTGATGCACCTGGAGTTCTCCCATCCATATTCCAAACAGAAAAGACCAGGGACAAAGAATAAAATGTGTGTCCTTGCTGAGTTTGTCCTATTCTTCCTTTTTTTAAATCAAGAAAAAGTTTTTCTATGACTCATTATGACACTTCTGTCCATATTTAATTGGTTGAAACTGTGCCATATTGTTACCTCCTGAAACTTAAAAAAAAAAACCCCAAAACTGAGCACACTATAGCTTTAAGAAAAATTGGAGCTTTTATTGCCAAAGATGTGTATGTGCTGGATTGGCACCAGTGACATTTGCCTATGCAATTTCTTTCTTACAATAAACATCATGGTTAAAGGAATTCAAAAAGTAAGACATGTTTTCTTCCCTGTTGGTAATCTGCTTTCTGCTGGGCAGTGCCAAAACTGGCTAAAGTTAGCAAAAAATGTCATCATGATAGATGAGTGTTGTAAAAAAGGCAGGGCTTTCACTGACCAGTGACCATCAACAAACTGGTGGGAGCACAAAGGAGGAAGAAGGGGTTATGCTACATAGATAGAGAAGATGTGGTGACGTGGTACTTCTTTTTAATTCAGTAGCTTTGTAACTTCAACTTCTTAAAACACATTCCAAAAGGCATATAATGCAAGTTGACATAAAACTGATAATTTTTAGTTGCCACATTTGGAAAAGTTTTTAAGAAACTTTAAATAACTTTTAAAGGAAATTTTATCAAATTTCAATATATTTTATTTAATGTTTTATGTTTTCAATGTCATTGTAGCATAAATCAAGATGAAATTTTACATTATTTTTATAACAAATCTCTGAAATATACTGTGTATTTTATACTTATAAAACACATCATTTTTTACTAGACACATCATAAATGCTCAGTGGCCACATGTGGCCAGTGGCTACTGTATTGGACAGTATAGTTCTAGGAGCATTCATTATGTAGCATTCCTCCCTCCCATCTCCCCATGCTGACAGTGCTACCCTGATTGGGTGTGTGAGTCAGAGGCAGAAAGGAAGAGAATGCCAGGCCCTGCAGATGGTGACACATCACCTAGCAGGGGACTGCAGATTTACTCATTATTTTCTTTGAGTGTGCTGCTTTCTGGCCTCTAGACAGTCTGTATTCTGGGTTGCCAGTGAAGGTATTTCATCTCATCTTCAGTTCTAGACAGATGCGTGTAAGTTACATTGCATTCCTTCCCCTCAAATTTAGAACTTTTCTCACTGTGGCATGCACTATTTATTGGTTACCTTCTGAATAGCCCCTCTCCCCCATTTCTGCCTGCTTTGATTAATCTGCTTGCCATTGATGTCCTTTTGTAGGGTTAAACTAATTATGGTCCCATTCTTTTGTGTTGAGATGCAATTGGTCTAGGTAGAAGCATGTGAAGGAATTCTGGCTAAGGAGATACAAGAAGAAACTTGCTTCAGGGTAGAGTTTCTTTGCCTTTGAGAAGGGGACATACCAGCTGAGCGGGTGCTGGTGGCTCATACCTGTCATCCCAGCAATGTGGTAGACCGAGATCTGGAGGATGGTGGTTCCAGGACAGCCTTGGCAAAAAGTTCACAAGACTTCCCCCCTATCTCAACAGAAAAAGCTGGGTGTTGTGGCACGTGCCTGTCATCCCAGATACTGTCGGAAGCATAAATAGGAGGATAGTGGTTCAGGCTAGGCTGGGCAAAAAGCGAGACCCTAATTCCAAAATAACCAGAGCCAAAGAACTGGTGATGTGGCTCAAGTTGTAGAGAGACTGCCTAGCAAGCATGAAGCCCTGATTTGAGCCCCAGTAAAAGGGGGTGAGGAGGACAGGGATATATGAGAAGAAACCTCCTTATTTTTTGCTGGATGTTGTTGGGGCTATGTGTGATGTCTGGGATTACTGAAGCTATCTTGTGATCATTAGGGAAAAGAGGATGGCAGGGAAGAAGGATAGAAAACACCTGGCTGCTTGATGGTATTAACTCATTAAATTAACTGTTATATGCAGTTAAAAGCATGGTATCTATGTCTAGTAACTCATCCTTAAAAAATATATCGGTTAGTAAGTATTTATTAAATATCAACTCTAGGCCACATACAGTGTATAATGGTTCTGTCCCTCAAGGGATTTAGTCTAATTCAGTAGTTCTTATAAAGATACTGGGGAAGACAGGGAAGTTGCTAAAACACAGATTCCTTGGCACCATCACAGAGCCATATTCCTGGGGCTGGCTGAGAGAGCAAGAGCAAGCCTGTGTCTCCTGCAGGCACTTAGGTGATTCTAATGTATTTTGAAGATTGAGCACCATGACTTGTTCAACACTGTCACTTGAATCCGTGAGTAATAAAAGACAGGGTATGCAATGGAGTGCTGAAGTGTGAAATGTGAGCTCTCAAGTGAGTTCAGCAGATGTTCGGAAGCAGCTTGGAAAGTTGGAAAGCAACAGAGACTGAGGGTGGAGTGCAGGCTCCCCACTCACCGGCCAAGTGTTTCAGTTGCCTGATGTTTAATCAGGGCCTACTTTGCTGTCTGGTTGTAAGTTCTGAGATAACATGTGAAACCAATGCCATCACTACCTGGGGTTAGGAGGGGCCCAAGTGCATTCACTCCTGTGGTGTGTGTGTGTGCTATAAACTGATAGGAAGACTGTACCCAAAAATAGCAATGAGGAAGCAGACCTAAGCCAGAAAGGGACTGGTGGAGCAGGTCCCCTGCTCACATGCCTGCCTGTCCCGCCTGTGGTAGGGGGCTGCCACGGTGGTGTTTCTGTATGACATGCTGAGGGAAGCCTCTGAGGAGAGCAGCGGCTACTCCCATGCAAATGTATTTGTCTGAAACCAGGGAGACATTAAGGGACTTATACAAATGCCGGACTGGAGATAATTCTTTCCCTTTAGTTTTTAAGGTTTGTTTTTAAGTGATTTTATGTTTAAATGGAGAGCCGTTTTGGAGTTTTTCTATGCCTAAGATTTTCTTTCAATTGGAGCATAAATATGCTTTTTAATAACGCTCGGGGAAGCATTAAGTGAGTCTGTTTAGTTTTATTTACGTGATTCCTATAAGAAAATATAAGTATTTTTTCCAATTTTCACTGCCATATGGAAAGGGAGTATTGTTTACCAATTGCGCTTTTTAAAGCAACTGTCAGATCAAACTCATGAATGTTCCTCATCTTCTGAGAGAAATTCCTGACAATACTATTCTTCAAATCACCAGACAACACAAAAGGCTATAACCTGAGGCCTTTCACCAGCAGCAAGATGTGGCCTCTATGATTGTACAAATAAACAAACACCTACCTGCTTTGTTAGTATGCTATAATAGTGGGACCTTTATCTAAATCTAACCGTGCAAGGAATGAGA